ACAATTGTATAATACTGAAAAAATAAAAAAAAAAAAAAAAAAAAAGTAATTTAATTTAGAAATTAAAAACATGGTAATTACAGAACTGCATTTAAATGTATTTCTGGATAAATTAATAGATCTGGACCAAAAAAAAGAGCATCATGTCATTGATCCACAAGCATCTAAAGTATCGGTCCAATCTATTCGGAACAGGAAACAATCTGAATATAAAGAAATATGATTGTAGCGACACAGCTCAATTGGTTAGTTAGAAATACTTACCTTTTTAACTTTTTCTATACATTCATCTTCTTGGAATAATTTGAAGAAATCGTACATATAGGTTTCTTTAAAGCTAGACTGGGGGAAAAAAATCCAAATCGTCACAACAGAAACGAGAACAGGAATATCATTTTTTTTTTAATATTCTGTTTTATTATATCTAGTGGAAAACTTTTCAAAAGTTGGTTCCTTCAGCACAGGTATGACTAATAGCTGACGTACCAGTTTGTTCTTGGAAAGGCTGCCCCAGCTGCCTAGAGACTGGATGGTTTTAGAGATAAGAGTAAGCGTGCGGGAAATTTCGGGGTCCTGAGAGAGAAAGTAAAGTTAGGTGATTTTACCAACTCATATTTAATTCAAAGCACTTGCTTTCATTTACTGGTAATTACTTTATGCTCTTACAAATAACATGTATTGTTGACTGAAAGCATTCTAAGAAAAGACTGGAGAGTCTCAATGGGTCTTTCCTGGCATACGTAAATGAGTCACATGCTTAAAAAAGGAAGTAAATCATGTTTGTTACAACTAGGTAGTTTGTTTTAGCTGTGGTGTGACGTGGCTGTTCTTGTTGCACACTCACAGGATGATGGGATCTCAGCTGGAAGGTGTGTGGAGAGAGAACAGCCACCGCAAAGAACCTCAGGAATATGAAACTACTGACCGCTGAGTACTGCACATGAGGATCCGCTGTGGTGAGACACACACATAGCGAGATTATTAGTCATGACTGAGTATCTGGCTCCTCCTAGTGGCGAATCAACACAGTCCTTCAGGAAGGCATACGGGAGACGCCAGCAAGAGGTCATTAAAAGTTTTGCTGGACAAAATACATGCGTGCACACTGCACAAGTAAATGAGAGTGAAAGTGTGTCTGTGTGCATGTGCTGTCTCACCTGGAAAGCGTTTAGATGCCAGCTGTCTGAGTGATCTGAAGACGTCACACATGAGGGGAGGACAGCTGGAGCTGGACTGCGTTATAGACGTAAAAACCTTCTGTACATATCCCTGAAGATTCTCCTAAGCACACACAAACACATGCACATGAGATGTAGAAAAATACTTTGCTCTTTGGAGGACACATTGTTTTCTATTGTCTTAATTTATTACATCCAACCTGTAAAATTAAAGCAACATCATCTTATATATAAGTAGATATAAAACCGCAATTAAGAACTATATCAGATGCTATCACTCATTACAGGGACATTTTTAACCCATACATTTTTAATTTCAAGTAAATTTTTCAGTTTTGGTGGCTTTTTTTTGTCCAGAGTCACCGTTTTAATTTTCAACAACTGACGTATTATGTATAATTTTGCATCAAAATTCAACCAAAAAACAAACATCATCTCACCTTGTTGACTTCCACATTATCGCCCTCTTTCAGTTTGACAGGATCAATCTCACAGGTTTTATTTGATTCAAAGATCTGTAAAAGCAGAATGAAGACACACACAATTTTATACAGTGTGGGTCTGAGTTAACAACTGTAGCAAATCTGAGCCACAGATTTCAATGCATTTATATAGATGTTCAGCTAACATTAAAAGAAAGAAAAAAAATCAACTTAAGAAATCTTGTGTGTTTTACCTCATTGAGAACAGGTTTGAGAGTGACGGTCAAGTAACTTTTGCCCACAATCTTCATCATGTCATCTATGCAGCGGGTGGCCAGAGAATTGCCTCTGAATATGGTGTTGGCCTCTCTGCACAGGGAGACGGAGAACATTTCAGAGGACAGACAAAGAAACTCTGTGTTTCTAACCTAGACAAACTTTGGGGAGAGGGTTTGCTAACAAAACAAAACACAAAACAAAAAAAACAAAACACAAAACAAAACAAAACAACAAAAAACAAAACAAAAATATTAACAAAACAGACAAATAGGCCTATTAACAAAATAAAAAAACAATGCATATTAAGAAAACTAAACACAAAACAAATATTGACAAAACAAAAAAAAAGCTATTCGCATATAAATTTTTTTTTACAAAAACTATATGCATTTTAACGAAACCAAACCAAACAAAAACTATATAACTGTTTGTGTGCGAATGTGATACTGAACTGTGTATTCTCCAGCTCCAGGGCAGCAACAGAAGTGAGAAAGGGCAGCAGTCTGTTGTGATGGAGCAGCAGTCTGACCACAGGAAGCAGTGCTTCATACCCAACACTCTCTCTGCAAATATCTCCCAGAACATGAGCCGCTGATGCTGAGATCGGCTAGAGACACACAAAAATAAGAAATGAAAAGAAGTTATGTTTGCTAATTAAGTATGGCTGATAGTTTTAAAGGGACAGTTCACCCAAAACTGAAAATTCTCATTTGTGACCCTGGAGCACAAAACCAGTCATATTGATTAGTAATATGCATTGCTAAGATCTTCATTTGGACAACTTTAAATGTGATTTTCTCAATATTTAGATTTTTTTGCATGCTCAGATTCCAGTTTTTCAAATAGTTGTATCTCGGCCAAATATTGTCCTATCCTAACAAACGCTTATTTATTCAGCTTTCAGATGATGTATAAATATCAATTTAAAAAAACTGACCCTTATGACTTGTTTTGTGGTCCAGGGTCAAATTTATCATTTGCTCGTTTTCAAGTTGTTCCAAACGTGAATGGATGTTGAACACAAAAGAAGATATTTTGAAGAATGTGGGTAACCAAACAGTTTCTGGTCCCCACTGATTTCTATAGTATTAGAACAGCTTGGTTTGGAATAACTTGTGGATGAGTAAATGATGAGAGAATTTTCACTTTTGGGTTTGTGGTTTGTGTCAAAGTGCATAAGGTCTTCCTGATAAAAGGAAGGCACTATTGTACCTTGACATCCGGGGATTTGAGCATTAGGTTGCGGAGGGCCGTGTAGAAGGCAGAGGGCAGGACGTTGTCCTCCGTGTATGTTACCTTCAGACGTAAAGAACCCAGATCATCTGGCTTAGACTTTGTACCGTTTCCTTTCGGCTGCAGCAAGTACCTACAAATCACAAATCAAAAGCAATTTCCCCTTTTTAATAAGCTATTTTACTGTGTCGCACAGCTTCATCATTTAATATGCTGTATCGTTAGATTACACACTGTGTAATATGAAATATTCACAATATATTCACAAGTATTTAGCTGGCGATAAAACAAATTAAGCAACACTTTGACTATTACAATGATTATGAAGCCCTTTTTATTTAGTCATTAGGTTTCTGTCATTCAATGTGTCATTGAACTAACGGGTGTTGAGAAAGTGACATTATAAAAGCAAAAACATTCGATTTGTTAAGTTTCCATAAATCAGTTCAAACTATTTCAAGGATTTTACTGGAAATGTTGCATCAAAAAATTCTGGTTAAACATCGTGTCATCAGCCATAAATGTTCACAAAATTATTTTTCATATAGTAAAATGTTTTAGTTGAATATATGTAGGTGGTTCTGCCAAAATATTAAGAAATCGTTGAAATGTTTCTTAAACAGCAAATCAGTATATTAGAAGACTGGAGTAATGATGCTGAAAATTCAGCTTTGCCATCAAAGGAATAAATTACATTGGTAACACTTTATTTTAAGGTGTCCTTGTTACACACGTTACATGTACTTACTATGATAATAACAATTAATTATGCATAATTACATGCAAGTAACCCTAAGCCAAACCCTAATCCTAACCCTAACCATATAGTAAATACATGTAGTTAATAACTTTACTCAGTACTTATGCTATATGTATAATTACACTGTAACAAGGACACCTTAAAATAAAGTGTAACCATTACATTTTCAAATATATTCATATAGAAAATATGAGAAAAAATCTATTTCTTATAAATCTTTTAAATTGTAATATTATTCACATTATTTCAGTTTTTACTCTATTTTTGATCAAATAAATGCAGTCTCGGTGAGAATAAAAGACTTCTTTCAAAAACAGATATATTAAATAGTGAATAGTGTCAAAAAGATGAACATTTTTAAGATAAAATTTTTGTTAGATCTGTTGTCCAGTGCTAATTTATAACCACAAAATTTTCCTGGCAGCATTTTTTTTTTATCCTTTCAATATGCGTGTCTGACACTTATATAATTTTATCCTTTGTGTCATTTGCATTGCTCAAACTACAAAGTACAGGAATTAGTGTGGCAAGATTGTATTTAAGAGTGTCAGCGTCTGTGTGTGAGTATGTGTGGCTTGTTTTATGCTAGGTTCATGCAAAAGCTCACCCACGCAGTAGACTCACTGCCCTCATTCAAAACATGCAGATCAGTATCAACAAGTTCCCTCTCAGTCTACACACACTCACACACACAAATGCACGCACATACCATGTTTACACAACACTACCGGCAGGACGCTGTGATCCACAGTCTGAGGACACAAGGGAAGCGGGCAACGGAAGCAATCCGCCCAAAACACACACCTACACACACCCACAGTCTGTCAAACGCTTCTCGACAAAAACTATCAGAGGTAAGACAAATTTGCAGCTGAAATTTATTTTATGATTGTTGCAGTCAGCGGTCATTGATTATGTCACAATGCGTAGCTTTAAGTAAAGGCCTCTAGAGTCAGTAAAGTAATGCTGAAGTATGTTCTTTTAAGCTCTGACGTCAGAGAGGTGGTGCTCTCATGCCTGATTGGGCAGATAAGGACAGTGCAGAGCTGGGATTGGCTGTTATCTCCCTTCCTCATCTGTTCATCAGTATACCTCACTCAGACACTGAGATCAGCATTTTGCAGTGCCGCATTAAAGTGTGTGCAGGCACACCTTTATACACCTTTATTTCATACAGTTTGTCTATTGTGTGCATTACAATTTGAGTGAAAAATTGGTAACATTTTACAATAGGGTTCCATTTGTTAACATTAGATAACTAATAATAAAAAATACTTCTGAAGCACTTATTAGTCTTACTTAAAGTTAATACCAGCAATTACTAATACATTACTAAAATAAAAAATCTGTTAATATTATTTAATGGACTTGCACTAACACGAACTAACAATGAACAGTAGTACTTTTATTAACACAAAGTTTATTAATTTCTTTATCAAGTGTATATACCGCGATAAAATGATTTTTTTAAGTTGTAAATAAAAAAGGGTAAAATTTTAAAGTACCAATTCTCACTATTAATTAGCATGCATATTACTAGCATATTGGCCGTTTATAAGTGCTTATAAAACACATATAAATGTGACAAAAAAGTATGCTTTACAAGAAAACACTATTTCAGTCTTTCTATTTCAAAATTTTATGTTTAATTCTATGCTACTGTACTGTAGGTACAGGTATTTTCTGTATTTATTTTTTTACAGGTGTTTTACCTGAATTCTGCACTTTATTGTGTTGTTTAAAAGTTAACAAAAATGTCTGTAGAATTAATGGATAATGTCCTGGCAGAAAATTACCAGAACGTTTTCCCTTTTTTTTTTTTGTAGTAAGCTCATAGTATTTTTTTAATAAATTAATAAACCTTGACAAAAAATGGCCCTCAAATTTCTTTTATTTACACTCATTTAAAAAAAAAAAAAAAGTGCACGCAGTTGCATAATTTTATAGCGCCAGCAAACTGAATATTCAATATATTGGCCAGTCCTACTTCGGAGTATGTGAGTTCTTACCATGCTCTGTGGACATTGTCGTTTCTCAGGATTTTCACAGATACCCGTGTCTCTCCAAGGAACACGTCCTGTGCCAAGTTACCATTATTCCACAGCTCCACCCTGCATGGCAGAGTACAAGAGAGTAAGCATTAGCTAAATGTTAATTTATAAAAACACATACACAAACAGAGCTCTGTAATCAATGTATTCAACACATGTTTGAACTTCTCCCATTTTCAGTCAAACTGAATCTGAAATTCAGCACGCAGAGCACAGATGCAGTTGCATCAAAGTGGGTTAGTCATTTTTCTCTCCACTACCGAATGAAGCTTTTTCTCACATCAAACATGCACACAAATAAATTGCATTTGAGTGGAAAATAAAATCCAACAACACACCAAAACCATGCGTTAACACACACACACACGCACACACACATTAGTGTCATGATCTAATGTGCCGTCTGGTGGTTTCACCTACTCTTACCTGTCAGCTTCTGCAGAGGGCTATATGGGACAATTCAGAGTGGCACATTACGTGTCAAATCAGATCAAAGCCACATTCATCAAAACATTTGTAACAGAACATACAGTCGCCAAATCAAATAAGCATTCATCCCCGATTACCATATTCATCCACAAAAAGTCGGTTTGTACAGTTATATGCTGTTTTAAAAAAAGACTTTAAACAAGTCAAAAGGTCAAAAACAAAACAAAACAAAGCAAAGCAAAGCAAAGCAAAGCAAAAAACTAAACAAAACAACAAAACACAAAACAAGGTAAGGCAAAGCAAAGCAAAGCAAAGCAAAACAAAAAACAAATCCAGTTTTGATAAATTTAAAGGATCCTTTCTAAATAAAAGTATTAATTTATATTTTTTTAATTTATAACCCCACCTCCCCTCCAGTATTACTGCTTTTGCTGTATTTTGTGTCAAATAAATGCAGGCTTGGTGAGCAGAAGAGAAATCTTTAAAAAACATTAAAAATCTTACTGTTAAAAATTTTTTGACTGGTAATGTATATTAAAATGGTTAATACTTAATTCAAATTAATTAAACACTTTTAAATAGACTGCAGCAATCATATTTTGCCACACATTATTTTGTTTAGTTCAGAATCGTGGGAGATTCGTGATCTCTATTTGAGACAAAACAAATCGTGATTCTCAATTTATCCAGAATCGTGCAGCTCTAGTCCTGTGTTT